AAAGGTGCGGGTACGTCCCCTTAGGGGGTAGCATCCAACTCTTCAGGAAAATTAGAAGGCGCTATATCAAAACCGCCCCATGCTGGAGTCCCATACGTCGTGTCAGACTTGCTCAGACGTCTGGGTCGCAGCATACTCGCTTCTTCGCAGTCCTCGGGAACTGTCCTTGCCGGAGCTGTCGGGAACCGCCGCCTTTTCCGCAATCTTGTCCGCTCCTCCCGGGACTGGAATTCCTTCTGATTTCTTCGTCCTTTCCGGGAAAGGTCTCTCGGGGGTTGACATCGCGCTACCTCTCTTTTCTGGGAATCTTCTCCCGGGTCATTTTCCATCACGCCTGCCATCGTTCGAAAATCATCATGGGGGGACTGTCCTTGCGTGGCGTGTCTATCTCCTGGTCCCAGCCGTATCTGCACTTTCTCGGTGCGCATTTCGATGAGAATCTTGTTTGCCATTTTGAATTTGGCGCGCAACCGCACACACCGAGTTCTCGCAAGTCGTGGATGATGCAGGGGAGCTTGGACCATGCTCGCGCGTTGGTCACCCTCGCTAACCCTCCGTCGGCAGCTCTGAGCGCCGAGGATCGGGCACTGCGTGAGCTCTCCTGGCACCCACTTACTCCCTCACGACGGGCATCCGTTGGTCGTTCATCGACGTGGTTCGGCCGGAACGCACGGCTCCAGAGTTGGCTGGTTCGCTGGGTTTCCGCAGCACCGGAGTCTCTCTTCCTCTGGGTGGCACGGCTACTCCCGACCTGGAGGCACTCGCAGGTCCCGCGCAGCTTCCTCCCCCATTCGTTTACCTGCCGGCGGCTACCGAGGATATCCGAGCTCTCGCGGCTGGCAACCTTTCAGGTCTTCTCTTTCGGGATGTGGAAGGGTTGATCCATGTGAGTGTTCGCGTCCCGGAGTTCACCGTTCCACAACTCGAGGTGCTTTCTCACCTGGTCCCCGCCGACGATCGTACACTCACCGACATTCTTGTCCCGGAACACCTCTCCAGAACTTCTTCAGCAGTCACCCCCAGCCAACGAGCCCGCGCTTCCGAGGTCCAGGCCGGTCCTCTCCGAGACGTCTTCGGCTCCAGCAGATTTGGCTACCGGGTGCTTAACACCCTTCACGCGCTCCGCCTCGCTCTGGACCGGTTGCGGCTCCTGGAGACGGCTCGCGACTTGGCAGTCAATGCAGACCCTCGCAGTGAAGTGGCCAACGCCATCCTCCGCCAGGTTCTGGAGCGCGAATTTGATCTGCGAGAAGCCCGGGACCAAGAGTGGGAGGCGGCTCTCCGGGAGGTGGACTCGACCACCGTCTCCTCTTACCAGGGGTTCTGCCGGCGGGTCCAAGTCATTCTTCAGTCGGAAGTGCAGCGAGGTAGTGTCCTGGCATCCCGCTCTGGACCTCACCGAGACACGGTACTTGGATGCCGAGCGCGCACTCACAGAGGCCCGAAGCGAGGCGGTCAAGGCGTCGACCGCCCGAGACACCGCGGAGAAGGCGCTCGCGACTAAGCGTGGGAGAACTAAGACTCTCCAGGCCGTCCGGACAGAAGTGTCCCGGGAGTTGGTGTCAGCGAAGACTCGCCTTGAGGAGGTTCAGGCTCAGCTCGCTTCTCGGTCGACGGCACTCCCCCCCCCGGAGGCTCGGTTACAAAGGCTGAGCACGACGCGGAGGTTCGTCGCCTGTCAAAGCGGATCCGGAAGCTGCGGGTCTCTAACCAAGACCTACGCACGGATAATCGTCGTTTCCGGACTCTGCTTAGCCCTGATAACCTCTTCCGTTTTTTTAACAATCAGGGAAACCCCGGGGTCATTTCGGGAGCGTCCGAATTCCAGGAACACCTGTCTGCGTATTGCCGGTCTGAGCAGCCTCTTTATTCCGTATTCTTGATGGTGAGTAAGAATAACGCTCCCCCGCCACCTTTTCAAGCCACGCAAGTGGAGAGCGACAGCGAGGATTCTGACCCCGCTTCCGGCGCAGAGTCCGGTGATGAAGGTGGTGCTGGTGAGGGAAATCAGCCCGTCGGTGGTGACCCGGCTGATCCCGATCCTGCGTCCGCGCCTAGCACTCCCCCAAGAAGTCAAATGCCGATCACTCAGGCCCGGCTAAGATGGCCACGGTTCCCGGGAAGGATTCCTTCCCCGCGCCCGACCCCAAAGGTCCCAAGGCTGCGCCTCCGCCTAGCTCCTAGGGCAACTCCCTCTTACGACCCGTTCCCGGGGCGTCTGAGGCTAACCTCTTGGGCCATTTGTTCGACGCTGATTACGACATGGGAGGGGGTGATACTGAAGCGGAGAGGAAGACTCCCTGGAAGAGAAGCAAGAGGAGGACCACCCCATGGGCGAGGAGCTCGGGGCGCAAGACCCTCCCGAGTCCGAGGACGTTGAGCTAGAGGGTGTGACGGGATCAGGTCCTCGGATGTCTTTGGATGGACTACGCCAAGTCAGACCCGCGGTCTATGACCCCCAGACTGACCCGAAAGGGTTTTTTTACCGACCCATAGATTCTGACGCTGACCCGGTTCGACCTGTGGAGGAATTGGCCCAATTCCTGACCCGTTCCAAGGTCGAGGATGTGCGCATGGATGTTCTGGAGTATTGGCAGATGGATACGGATCGTTGCACCCTAACTGACGCGGAGGATGCCATCCAGGACCGTACTACTGAGGCCTTAGTCGTGCACGTCAGTCTCCGGAAGCATATACTGGTGGAGTAGCTGCGCCGGGCGCTGATACTCTCTTTCCTGGATGAGGTACCCTGGTTCCAGCACATGCCCGAGGAGCTTTTTGACCAGGCTTTGGCTGAGGCCGAGGACGACGACTGAGAGCTGGGAATAGCCGAGGGCGTGAACCCTAGGCCTTCAGTGCCACTCCAGCCCCGGGATAGTCCCAGTCCTTCGAAACAAGAAGAAGACGCTTCCGGTAACGAGCGAGATGGCAATGATCCTGACGATGAGACTTCTCTCGGTAAACGCTCCCGGCCCAAGTCGAAGACCCCGGCAGGGAAGCGCCCCAAGCGAGTTGTTCCCCCGACTCCCTCGCCCGACAAGTCAGGTTCCTCGCGCACTCCCCGGGAGAGGCCTCTCTGACGTTTCCTCGAACGATGAGGACACCCCTCCCCGCCGGGTCAAGACTTTGTCGTGGACCCCGGATATGGGTTACGAGGGGTATCACACGGATACCCGGTTGACCAAGTCCTGGATTATTTATAACACGCGTGTGCGCTGAGCCAGCACTCGCCACAAGCACCAAAACCGGTGCTTCCCGGACTACGAGGTCATGAACGATGAGGTTCATTCCGTGGCGGAACGAGTCCCAGTCGCGGAGTATCGGGACATTATCGAACCCCAGGCTCCCTGGGACGACATATTTGATGAGCGTGTCCGGGCCCTGTTGTTCGTCCGGGATACGCTGACTCCGGAGTTCGTGGGCATTGCCAAACGCTATGTCCTGTTCATGTGGGTCTGGCGCCGGGAAAAGTGGGAGCGTACTCACTGGATCGTGCTGAACCGAAATGTCGAAGCACATGCTCTTCTTCGCCAGGACCGCGCCGAGCGCCAACGGAAGTATGAGAGGGCTCTCAAGGACGTCCAGGCGGACGTGGCCACGCTTCCTCCTCCCGAGCGCAAACGGTTCCGGATAGAGGCAGCGTTTTGGCGTCACTCGCGGAAACCGTGCGTGTGGATCCCCATCGACCCGAGGGCGAACAAGACCCTTCGTGTCCAACTTGACCTGCTGGACCAGCGCGAGCCAGCACGTCTCTACTGGGGATCAACTTGTCCGGAGGAGCGCATCGCAGAGAGTGTGTCTCCGGCCGTCTGGGGCACCCGCGTGACTGTTCACGCCAAATCGCCTTCCTGTTCCCGAGCCTGAGGAGTATGTGATGCCTCGCGGTCGTCGTTAGTTCCCGGGAGCCGAGCTTGCCCGGATCTCCTCCAATCCCGGAACCTTCGTATGCCTCTTTTAATATATCTTTTGCGTTTGCCTCGTTTGACATGTAGTCTCCAAGCCTCCGTGCCCTTTTCATTGGTAACATGTATATGTCGTGCAAACATGCAATCACTTGTGCCCCAGAGAGTATTCTCATCCGGGGACACAAGGCTTCTGGGGGACACTCCAGGGCCCGCTATAGTAGTGAACTCCGGGTCCACGCCCCAGGGAACGTGCACTTCGCTCATGTCCTGGGGAGTATTCTCATCCGGGAACACGAGACTTCTGGGGGCACTCCAGAGCCTACTGCTGTAGTAGTCTCCGGGTCCACGCCCTAGGGCTCTACTGGACTTCTTCGTCCGGGAGCTCGTCTCCAGACTGCATAGCCTGAAAACGCACGCGGGCTCGCTCTCCCTGGTCGAACTCGTAGAGGAGCCTCCCGCAATTGAGGCGTCCCTGAGGAACCCAGTCTGGCGCTTCATACCCTTTCCATTTCACTTGGTATTCCTTGACGCGCCGGCTAGTGCGGGTCCGAGTGACCCAACGCACATCGAGTATTGCTTTCACTTCGTATTCTCCAGAACCTTCGTCGGGTTCCCAGCTATCTTCACGGAGCAGCGCGGCGTCGAAGTCGTCGTCCTCCGGGATGCTCATGGCCTCCGAGGGTAGCTCCGGGTATTTAGCTCGGGGCTTCAGCCGGCTGACATGGACCCAGGGGTAAAATCGGTATTCGGTTCCTTCGACTTGGAGGCGGTATCGGTAGTCGTTACCCTTTTCCAGGATCCGGAACGGACCGTGCCAAAGATGAGCCAGCTTCTTGGTGAGTTCGGGGCGAACCCGGGCTAGGTAGAGCCAAACCGAGTCCCCGACCTCAAAGCCTTCCTTGAGCCGGTTCGTGAGTTGTCTCCATTTCCGGTTATGGTCCTCGGCTCGGCCTTTGCTTGGAGGTCCCGGGCCCAGGCTCGAGCGTACTCGACTTGGCGTTGGATCTTCGTACGCCATTCCTGGGCGTCTCGGAGTTGGACGTCCCGGGGGAAATCCCCCATCATGGCTTCGACGGTGCTCTGGGCGTCCCAGCCT